TGCCTGTCCTTGCTGGGGGCCTCCTGCTCCTTTCCCAGATCCGACCTTTCCTCCGTAACCCTTGCCTCCGTACTTCCCTCCTTGATCCTTTCGTTTTCCTCCTGTTTTCCATGTCTTTCCTCCTGAATCATATCCTTTCCCTTCTCCTGTCTTTCCTGTCTTTCCTGTCTTTCCTCCTTCCCACGCGGACGTGAGCGGATCGACTTCCATGGGCTTGGTTTTGGAATCGCTTCCTGATTTGGCAAAAGAGTTTTTCCAGTCTCGCTTCCCTTGGACATACGCTAAAATCTTCTGTTTCAGCTCCTCATAAGTATAATACAATTCCGTGTTCAACTTAAAGTGTCCTTTCATTGGCTCTGGAATTGATTGGATCATTGCTGTGATCTTCACGTCATCGGAACATTCTTCTGGGTTCGCGAGATCATCGTACTGCTGCACAAGAACTTCGAACTCGGCCAGCTTCTCTGGCAAGCTGTCCAAACGATCGGTCGAAAAATCGTAGCTCAAGATTGCTTTCATGAGTCCTCGACGTGTGTTTCTGGCGCATGTTTTCCGCCACATCTCGAAACCGTTTCCCTTTTCAAGTTTGCGGTAAACCTTGGCCATCTCTCCCTTGACAAGGCCTACCAAGATGTAGCCAGATTAGCCGCATGCTGTCTCACAGGTGCGGCCATCTCTGAAAGTTGTATTGGATCCTGCCTCGTTCTGGCGATTTCCACATGTTCCAACATTTCACTACTCACTGCATCTGCATAGTTTTCAAACTGAAACGACCAGTCTGGCCAATCAGCATCTCTGCCCGAAACTCTTTGACGTTCTTTCCGAGAAGTTTCGTGTCTATGACCCCTTGGGCCATTTCTTTCTTCCTTGACCGTCCTAGAACTGTTCCCCGGGTTCCCCGTGGATCTGAAACCTGCGATTTCCTAATACCACTGCTCCGCTGCCATGTTAGACAGCAGATGCTCTTTTCCTGGGATCAGCTTGACCCAAGCCGGCTGCGGTGCAGGCAGAGAGAGCGACGAGAGAGATGGACTTCCAACAGGAGGAGGAGGAGGAGGAGGATGATGAGGAGGAGGAGGAGGAGGAGGAGGAGGAGGAGGGGGGGGGTGCCGCCGCGCGCGGGCAGGGAGGAGGGCGCGCAGGGCGCGCGCGCGTGGGCCGGACGTGGGCCGTCGTCGGGCCTCTGACGTCTGCGCCCGCCCCGCCGAGGAGGGGGGGGCGGGAGAGCGCATCGTGGGCGAGGGCGGGGCGATCGCGGTGGAGGGGCTTCGGTGTCTTCGAGTCCCGGGTGACTGCTGGCCCTGGGTGCAGGCGTCAGAGGTCTGATTTCGCTGGCGAGACAGGAGAGGAGGGGAGGCATGGGGGGAGGAAGTGGGTGGAAGGGGGGACGGAAGGCGGGATGACCGGGGGAGGAAGAGGGGGAGGGAAAGGGGGAGGAAGAGAAGGAGGGAGAGGGGAGGGAGAGGGAGAGGGGAAGGAAAGGGGGAGGAAGAGGGGGAGGAAGAGGGGGAGGGACAGTGGGAGGGAGAGCAAAGAGAGGGGTGGGGGGAAGGGAACATTTGCATCGCTGGCGACTTAGGACCTGTTTGCGTCGTCGACAAGCATCACGGCCGACGTTTTTTTCCACGATTCTCGGACCCAGCCTGGGGACGCTCAAGAGCGCACCAGGATGGGAAGAGCCAGACCCGGGGTCGTTCAGGGCAGGGCTTGAGCTAAACGGTGTCTTGGCGACTTTCTGAGCCCTCCTTGTCTTGGTTTTGTTCCACAGCAAAGGCAGAACTAAGACGTCACACATGGAAACGAAAACATAACGAAAACGAAGCACACTGCTTAGCTCGAGCCCTGGTGCGGGGTGTCCGCCGTCCGGTGTCCGCCGTTCGGTCGGGCTGGCCGCGCCGCAGCTGGTTGCGCTCGGTCGGCTCGGCTCGATCGGCGGTTGCGCCGTTGCCGCGTCGCTGCGCTTTTCTCGGGCGCTTTTTCGGTAGAGTCAGGGTTGATGTCGCCGTGGACGGCCTCTGGAGTTGGAGGAGTAGGAGAAGGAGAAAGAGTGGGAGGACGATTCTTTTCCGCTTCTTCTTGCACATCTTCATCCGCACTGGCGGCTTAATCTGTTTGTCCTGGCCCAAGTTGGTGTTTATTTTATTCCTTGAGGCCTTGCACGGGGTTTCTTTCACGACGTAACAAGTTCGGTTCTTCATGTTTGATCCACGTTCAAGAATGGGATGATGATGATGGCGGAGGATTGCAGAGGCCACCCCCGCTGGTGGAGTTGGGCCGTCGGGGCAGAACCTTTCCCCGAACTGGGGCGTCTTTTTGTGAGTGTGGGTTCGGGTTTCCCCCGATCCAGGTTTTTTTTAACCTCTCCCCTCCTGGGGAAGATCCTTCTCCCCTTCCTCCCCTCTTGCTCGTCCGCCTCCGCCTCCGCCTCCGCCTCCTCCTCCTCCTCCTCCCCTTCCTCCTCCTCCTCCACCTCCTCCTCCTCCTCCTCCTCCTCCTAGCACATCAGAATCAGATCGATCCTCGAACTACGCCGCTCCTCTCCGCGCCTCCAAATTCAAGATTGGAGCACTTGCCTTTTGCAAGCCGCCTGGGGAGTCTCGGTGCCATCTTGGACAGCCCCTGGCCCGCCGATCGCACTTCGGTCGCCCGCGGGTTGGATCTCCGGGCTTGCAGGAGGGGGGGAGGGGAGGGAGGACGAGGAAAAACGCACCGAACAGACACGAATCAGGAGGAGGGGGAGGGGAGAGCGGCAGGGGCAGCAAGCACGCACGTAGGGGCGGACGGGGGGACGGGCGGGGGCTGTCGTCAGCTACTCGTGGTCGGCGGCTGCTGGGCGACAAGCGGGGCGGGCGCGGGCAACGGCGTGGGCGGGGACGCAGGCTGGCGGGGGCAACGGCGTGGGCGGGGACGGAGGCGGGGGGCGGGGGGCGTGGTCGTCGTCGTCGGCGGCTGTTGGCGGCGGCCAGCGAGCGGCCGTCGGACCAGTGGCCGGCGCTGCGCGACTGCGCGATCGGCGGGCGTCAAGGCCCAGGGGCGGCTCGGGGGAAAGGCGGCCGCGCCTGTGCTGCGGCGGCGAGCGCTTCTGGGCGACGTGGCCTGCAGATGGAGCCGCGGAGTCCTTCCGGGACTCGGGTCTGCCCCAGCCCCCAGGATTCTTCGTCACGGAATGCACTAACAGTGCATGTTCCGGCGAGAGCCCCTTCTCGCAGGCTTCGCAGCGATGTACCGGCAACCCTCCTCCCCCTTGACCTCCACCAGCTGCTGGACTGGGCGGCGGAGCCGGGAAGTGAGGGTGTCGACGATCAGCAGGCTCATGTTGAAACAGGCACTTATCGCAGAACTTGCAGGTCCCGTCCCTCTGCCAGTTCTAACAAGACCCCCCTCCCTTGCTCCCTCCTTCGGCCGCGACGTCCCTGGCAGTCTCGGCGGCGAACTTCTCCTCGAGCCCCAGCTCCCGATAGTCCGCCTCTTCGCAGAGACCGACACCAGGAAGCCGATGATCAAGAGCCGTATGCCCCTTGCCGCTTGCCCAAGCAGATGGCGCACTCCTTCGACGGATCGGCCCCGCCTCGACGCTTACCGCTGGGGCAGCTTAGACGTAGGTGTCCGACTCCACCACACGTGTCACACGTACTGGCACGCCCTGGCTGCAACCGGCGCGAGCCTTCTCCTCCTGCTGTTGCTCCTCCTCCTCCTTTGGGATTCGAGCGAAAGCCGTGGCTCGGTTGCCCCAGCCGGTCGCCGAACCGCGCCTCGCGGTTGACCTCAATCTCCTCCGCGGCGACGAAGACACTATAATCACCCAATAGAGTAGCGCCCCGAAAGGCCCTCATGAGGCCCCCAAGATGCCCCAAGATATCCCCGCACGGCCTCAATTGCCCCAAGGGTAGCCTCAAAAGATCTCGAGGACCCCCCTTCTTCGACGTCCTTTTCCTTGTGTGCCTTTGTCCTCTTTCGTCGTTCTCTTCCTTCTCCGCTCCATTCCTCCGAGTGACTGTTTTCTCAATCTCTTCCTCCTCGTCCTTCTGCTTGTCTTCCTCCTTGTGCTTGTCTTCCCTGGTTCAAGCCGTGTCCACTCAGGCCGACTTTATCCAGACATCTGTTTTGTTTATTATTTTGACTGAATCCGAAATTCGATTGACTGTATCCGCGCCACCCCAGATGGGAAAAGAAGTCCGCGCGTGAGGTCTTCTGCCTCTTGGGAACCGGGGGCCGGCTGGGGCATCTTCTGGCCCTCTCGGGGGCCTCTTGGAGCCTCTTGGATGTTTGTTGGGAGCCTGCTGGCGGTCTCTTGGGCCGTCTTGGGGGTCCTGCAGCGATCTTGGGAGCCTCTTGGGCCGTTTGGAACGCTGCTGACACCAAAAGGGTGGACATGTAAAGCATGAGAATTGTCCCAAGGAGTTGGGGCGATGTTGGCCTCTCGGGGTCCTCTTCCGTTCCCCTTGGAGCTGTCTGGGGGCGTCTTGGAGGCTTCTTGGGCCGTCTTGAGGTCATCTTGATTGGTTTTGAAGCCTCCTTGTCGTGTTGGAGCCCAGCTTGATCAAGCTTATATGGAATCTTGAGCATCTTGGAGGCCACGGAGTGTAGAAATGGAGGCTCCGATGGCCCCAGGGGAGCGTTGAGGAGCCCGTGGCCCCCCCCCTCCCGCCCCCCCTCCCTTCTCGGACTTCAAACCCTAGGGGAGGAGCAAAGGGGGAGGGGGCAGCCAATCATCTCACACGGCTTTGCATCCCCGGCGAAAGGGGGTCCGCGGATTTGGAAGATTGTGTGATTCGTAATGCAATTGCAAGTGACGCGCATTTGTCTTGCTGCAGTACAGATTTGGTCAGCATGTGCAGTGCGCCTGGTACCCCACATGCCCATCTCGTCCAATGTGGGGCAGCTCGACCAGACCACTGGCGCAGCTCCACGATCTTTGGGACTAGATTTGGCTAGCCCCGAACTCTCGCAATGCGATGGTGAGTTGGACGCCGAAATGTTTGTGCGAGGTGTGGCCTCGCATAGGGTCCCCCGTGCATCTCCAATGCCCGCTCAGCGTCTGGAGCGCCGCGCAAACAGACAAGACGCAAACAAACGAATTGCTCTTGCACTTCGTGGAGAAAGCTTCCGGTCTGGTTCTTCAAACTCAGGTTTCCATCTAAACGAGGGTGCGTACACGTGCAGTGACCACGCATATAAGGTGCAATTTGGTATTTGGAAGTCGCACAAGATAAATGTAATTGACATTCTGGAGAGAGAAGGTTATGCAGTTATGCAATTGATACTTACATATTCACCAAGCCGTGCTACAATGGCACAATCTATCATCAAGACTTGATACGGTGGTACAAGCCCAAGCGCTTCATATTACTTAACAACACAACTTTTGCGCACAAGAAGCGCCGTGGAATTTACGACCCCACGTTCAAAGGAGAATTCTGGCAGTCTGCTTTTGCAGAGCACCTCCAGGAAAACATTAACAATTCGGAATATGAGTCCATATTCATGGTCCGACTGGATCAGATGTTTGTTGACACGCCCATCACATATATGGTGATGGTAAATAGTGGCGAAAACGGGTTTCACTTACCGCAGCAATGTGAAATATATTTCTCAGAAAACCTGCAGTGGTTTCACTCCCTGGATGATGCCAAGGTTCGTCGTCAGATTCGCGAGGGCTGTGTGTCGCACGGGTTTGGGGACTGTGAGAATTTTGGCCTGCACGTCCTGCGGCTCGAGCTTAACAACGTGCAGGCTTATTACGACGGCTCCGCACTGTATTGGAAGTGCCACATGCAAGGCGCGATTAGTAGCACTGAATGGCAGTACTTCAGCGACAGAGGGTTTGACGGCTCGCTTGCGCGCCTTTGGATTACCAGGTCATTTGGTACAAGCTGCTGTAACGCTTCCTCAACGGTGCTGTCTTTTGGAAAGTTCACTGCTTGAGCATTGCGAACACACATAAGTCGGTTTGCCTTTCGCGCCCGGGCGTATACATATAACGGCGCATCCGGGCTCAGGCCCCAGGGGCCGCGACCTCTACCGCAAGTGTGTGTGTGTGTGTGTGTGTGTCTGTGTGTGTTGTGTTGTGTTGTGTTGTGTTGTGTTGTGTTGTGTTGTGTTGTGTTGTGTTGTGTTGTGTTGTGTTGTGTTGTGTTGTGTTGTGTTGTGTTGGTGTTGTGTTGTGTTGTGTTGTGTTGTGTTGTGTTGTGTTGTGTTGTGGTGTTGTGGTGTTGTGGTGTTGTGGTGTTGTGTGTTGTGTGTTGTGTGTTGTGTGTCGTGTGTCGTGTGTCGTGTGTTGTGTGTTGTGTGTTGTGTGTTGTGTGTTGTGTGTTGTGTGTTGTGTGTTGTGTGTTGTGTGTTGTGTGTTGTGTGTTGTGTTGTGATGTGTTATGTTGTGTTGTGTGTGGTGTTGTGTTGTATTGTGTTGTATTGTGTTGTGTTGTGTTGTGTTGTGTTGTGTGTTGTGTTGTGTTGTGTTGTGTTGTGTTGTGTCGTGTCGTGTTGTGTTGTGTTGTGTTGTGTTGTGTTGTGTGTTGTGTCTGTGTGTGTCTGTGTGTGTCTGTGTGTGTCTGTGTGTGTCTGTGTGTGTCTGTGTGCGTGTGTGTGTGCGTGTGGGTGTGTGTGTGTGTGTGTGTGTGTGCGTATGTGTGTGCGTGTGTGTGTGTGTGTGTGTGCCCTTGGGGGGGCCCCAGAGGCCCATAAAACGCCACCAGAAAGTGCCGAGAGAGCTCGAAGCCGCTCCAAGAGGGACCCGAGACGCCCGCAGGCCGCTCCAAGAAGCACAGGCCGCTCCAAGACGTGCAAGATGGCCCCCAAGACACCCCGAGAGGCCTCCCTGACGCCCCAAGAAGCTCCCAGAGGCCCCCCAGGACAGCCCCAAGAGGCCCCTAAGACTGCCCCTGCGGCTCCCAAGAGGGCTCCAAGACGACCCAACAGGGTCCCAAGACGGCCCGAGCGGCCCCTAAGACCGCCCAAGAGAGCCCCAGGACGAGCCCCCGAGGGGTCCCAGAGGTGAAAAACCATATTCAAATTCCGAGCTTTTGGCACCAGATGCTCCCAGGAGGCCCCAAGAAGTCCCCTCCAACCCACCGTAGACTGCATACCAATCAATCAATCAATCAATCAATCAATCAACTAATCAATCAATCAATCAATCAATCATATATATATATATATATATATACACCCTGGGGGCAGGCCTGGGGGGCAGGCCCGGGGCCCACAAACAGCTGCCCCGACCCCCCATGGGAGGACGGGGCGGCCGGGAAGGTCCAAAATAGTCCAGGAGGGCCTCCAGAGGATCCCCAGACGGCCCAAGCGGGCCCCGAGTCGCCGAAAGACCGCTCCTGGTTGCCCAAGATAGGCCCAAGACGGCCCGAGAAGCACCCCAAGGCACTCCACGACGCTTCAAGACGCCTCCCCCGAGCGCTTCAAGAGACCAAAATCGTCAATTCTACTAAGGTTTTGGAGAGATTTTGGCCTTCCAGCCTTTTCGGCTGTCCGACGTTTTAGGCCGGCTCCATAGGCTCCCAAGAGCGCCCCAAGACGGCCCAAGGGGGCCTCCAGACGGCCCCAGAGGCGCCCAAGAGAGCCCCAAGACGGCCCCAAGATGCGCCCAAGAGGGGCACCACGACTCCAAAATTAGACCCTCCGGCTTGAAGAGTGCCCCAGGAGGCCCCAAGGAGCCCCCCAGAGGCCCCCGAGAGGCCCCCGAGAGGCACCCGGGAGACCCAAACAAGGCCTCAAGAGGCCACAAAACAGCCCCGAGGAGGTCCCACAACGGTCTCAAAATGGCTACCGAGAAGCTGCGAAACTGCCTTCACGACGTCCCCGACAGGCCAACCACGAGAATCCAAACCACCACCCATGAGGCCTCTGACCCACCACCTATGGCACCCGCCGCCCGCCCGCCGTCCGCGTAGCACGCACCACTCTGTACTCAACAGCTTCAGTCTCCAAGATAACACCCTGTAGTCAACAGCCTCCGTCTTCAAGGCAACACCCTGTACTCAAAAAGCTCCCGCTGCAAGAGAGCACCCTTAAGGAATTCATTCAAATCCCGACCCGCCCGCCCGCCCGTCACCCGCCCGCCCGCCGCCTGCCCGGCCGCTCGCCCGCCTTCCGCGTAGCACGCGCCACCCTGCACTCAACAGCCTCCGCCTCCAAGACAACACCTAGCATTCAACAGCCCTCAGGGCTCCTGGGACTGCCCGGGCCCGCTCCCAAACACGCCACGACACGCCAAGAGGGCCCTAAAGATTGCCAAGACAGCCCCAAGAGGCCCCGGACACGCCGAAGATGGCCTCAGGACGGCCGACGACGCCGCCAAAACGCCCCAGGAACGCCTCCAGAGGCCCCTCCAAAGGGCCCCGCATTTTTGCGCTCTCGCATGTTCCGCCTCCCCACGGTCCCGGACGGCGTCAGAGGCCCTTCAGATCGCTCCAAGACGGCTGAAGAAGCTCCCAAGGAAAGACCAGAGACGGCCCAGGAGGCTCCCCAGATAATTCAAGAGGGCCTCGAGAGCGCCCCAAGAGAGCCCCAAGAGCGACCTAAGAGGGCCCGAAGAGCGCGACATTACAAGGTCTCCAGCCTGAGAGGCTCCTAGGACGCCCCCGGAGGCCATCAAGAGGCTCCCAAGAAGCCCCGTGAGGCTCCCAAGAGGCCCCCCGGAAGCCCCAATAAGCCCCCAGGGGCCCCCAGGGAAGCCCCCTGAGGGCCCCCAAGAGACCTCGGTAAATCGTATTTCCCAGAGCTTTCCGGGAACATGATTCCTTGGGCTTCCGCCCACCGCCCCAACCAACCATGTTTCCAATGGGCTTGCCGACAAGGGCCCCTCGGTAAGCCCCCAGAGCCCCCCCTCTTAAGAGAGCCGAACAAATCATGCTCCCGGAAAGCTTCCCGGGAGCATGATTCTCGGGTTGCCGCCCTCTCCCCAAACCATGTTTATAAACGCCTGCCAGGATAGAATTACTCACTGCGTGGAGATCCCCATATGTGCATCTTTTTAAAATTATAATTGTCAGTGGGATCTGGGAATGCGCGTCTAGCCATGCAACGCAACATGCGAATATCATGTTGAGACATCCCCACAGAACGGCCACGAACGGAGCTTTGAAAACACCCTTGGCGGCTCCCCCTAGGGGTGCTGAAACCAGCGCCCCGCCTGAGACATCCGCACAATCTACTCTGGTAGCCAAGTATGTTGAGGCAGAAACAATCAAACCGCTTGAGACATCCCCACAAAACGGCCGCGAACGGGACCGTGAAATCACCCCTGGCGGCTCCCATCAGGGGTGCTGAAACCAGCGCCCCGCAATTCTGAGTATGAGGTAGTCTCGGTATGAGTGAGTCTCAGCATGAGTAAGTCTGAGTAGGAGTAGATCTGAGTATGAGTGGGTCTGAGTATGAGTAAGCTTGTGTCTATTCGCATGGACCTGTCCGCCGTGAATGTCTAGGCGCAAGAGCTTTCGAATATAAACGGGCTTCAGTTGTGACGGTCTGGTCATGAATCTAACTGAGAATGAATTGGAGTGTGAATGAGCCTCAGTAGTACGAGCGCGTCTCTGCGCATGAGGCTGGGTCTTCCTGGGGCCTGCTGGGGCCTCCTGAAACCTGCTGGGGCTTCCTGGGGCCTCCAGGAGCCTCGTGGGGCCTCCTGGGGCCTCCTGGGACCTCCTAGGGAGGATTCGTGCCCCAGGAGGGGCGCAATCTATAGCAACAGACGTACATAAAGCATTGCGGATTGGAGCCACAGGAGAAGGGGGCAATCTATAGGAACACACGTAAAACACCAAGGACTCGTGCCCCAGGAGAGGCCCTATAGGAACATAAATACACAGGAGAAGGACAATGTATAGAAACATACGTATGACATCAAGGATTCGTGCTCCAGGTGAGGCCCAATCTATACGAGCATACGTCAAACACATGGGATTGGAGCCACTCTTGTTGCCTTCTGAGGCCTCCTGCTCCTGGGGCTTCTCGGGGCCTCCTGTTGCCTTCCGAGGCCTCCTGGCGCTTCCTCTGGCCTCCTGGGGCCTCCTGTAGCTTCCTGAGGCCTGCCGGAGCTTCCTGGGGCCTCCTAGAGTCTCTTGGGACATCCTGTGGCCTCTTGAGTCTTTCTGTGGCCTCCTGATGCCTCCTGGGACTTCATCTGGGCTCCTGGGGCCTCCTGGAGCCTGTTGGAGCCTCCAGTGGCATCCTGCGGAGAATCTGTGCCCACGAGTCTGGCCACCGATTGAGACATTCTCAAAATCTGGCCCACCTGGGGGGTGAAAATGAGCGCCTCGCTCGAGACATCCTCCAAATCTGCTCCGAAAGCGAAGGGTGTTGGGACAGAAAACAGGCAAACCGCTTGAGACATCCCCGCAAAACTGCCGCGAACGGGACCGTGCAACACCCCTCGGCGGCTCCCCTTCGGGACGTGAAACTGAGCGCCTCGCTCGAGACATCCTCCAAATCTGCTCCGAAAGCGAACGGGACCGTGCAACACCCCTCGGCGGCTCCCCTTAGGGACGTGAAACTGAGCGCCTCGCTCGAGACATCCTCCAAATCTGCTCCGAAAGCGAAGGATGCTGGGACAGAATACAGGCAAACCGCTTGAGACATCCTCCAACAAAACGGCCGCGAACGGGACCGTGCAACACCCCTCGGCGGCTCCCCGTAGGGACGTGAAAATGAGCGCTTCGCTCGAGACATCCTCCAAATCTGCTCCGAAAGCGAAGGATGTTGGGACAGAAAACAGGCAAACCGCTTGAGACATCCCCGCAACACGGCCGCGAACGGGACCGTGCAACACCCCTCGGCGGCTCCCCTTCGGGACGTGAAACTGAGCGCCTCGCTCGAGACATCCTCCAAATCTGCCCCGAAAGCGAAGGATGTTGGGACACAAAACAGGCAAACCGCTTGAGGCATCCCCCCACACAACGGCCGCGAACGGGGCGTGCGTGAGTCTCAGCATGAGTAAATCAGAGTAGGAGTAGGTCTCAGTATAAGTAGGTCTGAGTATGAATAATTTTGTGTGTGAGTAAGACTGGATATGAGTAAGTCTGAGTGTGAGTCAGTCTGTGTATGAGTA